ATATATATATATATATATATATACACTTATATCAAAGACTGAGCACAAATAGATAAGCAATCAGATAAAGTTCAAATTTGGAAGTCACTTTAATTTTATCACCTTAATGCCATAAACGAGGCCTCAACTGAGCATGGACATCAGCAGCAAAATATGTGAAGCTGACATTGTTTGTTTTGAATTTCGCACAATGCTACACGAGGGCTATCTGCGCTAGCCATCCCTAGTGTAGCAGTGTAAGACTAGAGGGACAGCTAGTCATCAGCACTCACCGCAAACTCTTGGGCTACTCTTTTTACCAACAAATAGTGGGATTGACCATCACGCCATAACGCCCCCACGGCTGAAAGAGCTAGCATGTTTGGTGGGACGGGGATTCGAACCCGCAACCCTCAGATTGCTAGTCGAGCGCCCTAACCACCTGGCAATGCCAGGCCGAAGCTGACATTGAACAACATTGTACTAATTCTACATATAATTTAGGTACCTTCACATAAACTGAATGGTTTGGGTGCTACTACTAAAAATATGGGAAGGGAGCATCCCGTACTCTCATTTATAGCAATACTGTGTCCCTTTGATAGTTATAAATATTTACACATGGGTCAATTTACAACCAGAGAAATTACAAACTTGTTAAATATTTTTCTTATGAATATAAAACAAGAGGAAAAAGATATTTTTTTTTATAATTATAATATGTATAAAACAATAAATGGTAGTAAATGAAATAAACTACTCTGATTTTGTCTAAGTACTGTAAACACAGTGTACAAAAAATCTTGTTGTTGATCATGATACTAGATATTTACAGTCGACGCATAGCTACGTATAGATAGATGAATGCAAACTGGTTTTCTTCCTCACAGCATATAATAGTAAATTTGAAAATCATTTTACTATTTTACTTTAGTGAGAGAAAAAACTTAATATCACAAAACCATAAATTTAGATTAAGTATCTACAAACATCTACAATAGGTCAATTACTTGAACATTATCTATACAGATAAAATGAGAGTTTTGTCTGTACATTGCTTAGAATAGTGTACTTTTTGTCATATCTTCACGTTTCATACACCAGAGAAGTCGAAACAAGCCTTATCTCAATTTCTGTCTGTCTGTTGGTAACGCTTGCGGACGTGTTTTTGTTCGCTTTTCACAGGGAAACGAGTGCACTGATTTCGATGAAAACTTTTTTTCTTGTTCTATACATGCGT